ACTGCCCCTGAAAAATCATAGAATCGGGGTGGGGGGGGGGGTCCCCACAGACTAATTGACTAATTTAGCTGTTTGTGTGTTCTCAGTAGGGCTAATTAGCTGGATAAAAAGTTATAACAGCTTATTCTGGATTTTTACATTACTGTATAGCAAAAAAAAAAATATACAGAAAGGCCACAGTCAGCAGACTCTAGAGCACTACCCACAGGCAATGAGTGATAAATATGAAATATTAATATGCAGTATTTTGCATCTACTTGATCATAAATATTTTTAAACATAAAACATAACTAAAATGTATACAGAAACAATATAGATTTCCTATAAGCTATTTCTTCAGCTGGTTTCTGAATGTTGGCCCTTCCAGGTGTGGATACAATGCAGATGTTTTTTGCAAAGTGGCCCTGACACATTGTACTAAACAAAAGACTGAAATCTTCATGCAGAGGAAAACCTTGTTAACGAGAGAAGATCAATTTGCAGAGTGTATACTGTGCAGATGACGTAGTATCTGGAATAGGTCAACAACAGGTGAAGGAGCTGATGGCGTACTCTGCTTCCTAACTTAGAATTTCAAAGCTGGTTTTATGACAGTTGTAAATGCAAGAAAACATCTCAGCACATTATATAGCTTGTAGACATGAGCCAATCTTTGCATATGTTCTCTGCTCTCAGTCTATGAACATTCTGTTTCATACTCCCCCTCATAAAGCAGGGTGAACACCTGCCTGCTTTTTCTAAGATTGGTTTGGTCCATTACATGCACACAATGAAGTGCCATCACATAAACAAGGGCACTGTGCCAACTCATTTCCACTTTCAAAAAAATGTCCTTGGAAATGTTTGATCCTGGGAGTGCCCCTTTTTTACATCTGCACAATTATATACCTATTTTTCCTTTCTTTTTTTGAAAACAGAAACTGTCATAAGAGAAATTATGGTTCTGATATTTTTGATCTCCTCCTGAAACTGCTAGTTCTCTAGCAGTCATGGCCTTTATTCTATATTAATAGATAAATATATTATGGTCTGGGAGATCTCTACAGTGTGGAAAAATTCTACTTTTGGGGTGCAGTATCACAGTTACACAGTAAATCACACCAAATGCACCCCTGAATTGCAGGGAGCCCCAGGACTGTGTTCTACTTAAGGCAAGAGTTCAGTACCCATGGCCGGATCTAGGGGGGTGCTGGAGTAGGCTGTGCCCCCCAGATTTCTGTTGTGCCCCCCTTGGCCGGCTAAGTTTCTTCCCCATTCCCACAGGCGAGTGCGTAGCCTGCTGCAATGAACTGTGATTAGTAATTTTCAGGCAGCGGTAGACAGAAGAGAGGCTGTGCTGTGTCCTCTCCACCCTGTCAGTGGAGCGCTCCCCCACACAGCAAATCATGCAGGATCTCTAGTTCGGGCTGCACACAGTGCACTGGGCTAACTGTGCACTAGCATCCAATAAGAGTAGAATGAGATATTCAGTTTTAAAAATGGATGACAGCACTCCAGCTTAAAGCTTTGACTTTTTCATTAAATATATTCAATAACGTAGAGCACAACAGGGATGGGACTTCTTAGATCTCCATTTCAACCACTTCTACTCCTACTTCCTTCTGCAACAAATTTCAAGGAGTTAAAACTATGAGCTCCTAAGTGTAAAATGCGTAAGAGATATCTTTGTTGTACTCTGCTTTATGGAATATATTTAATAAAAAAGTCTCATCTTACAATGGAGTGTCATCATCCATGTTTATACAGAATGCATTCTCAGTAGCGAGCTGGACATGCACCTAGCCACCTGTACAGGCAAACGGGGACCAACCTGGAGCTGCGACCTGCATCCTTTCTGTTTATAAACAGGAAAAATGTCACACTCATGTCTATGAGAGATTAGTGCTCAGGCATACTCAATTTTTACTACTCAAGATGTAGCCACACAGGAGGATATTGCTGCCGGTGGAGATAAGTGGACACATACAGGGAGATGGTTCAGTTTAGTGTATTTAGGGGCCTAGGTAGAGGGCACACAACATGCCCTGTGATATGCATTGAAACATCTGTTGGTGATGGGAATTTCATTTTTTTTATCTTAGAACTTCCTTTCCTCAAAACCATCAGTCTCAAATTCCTTACTTAAGGTGAAAGTCCAGTCAAAAAACTTACACCTGCTCATATCCCTTTTCTTAGCCCTATACTAACTACCCTGAAGAGGAAAGATGTCTATACTTACCTATTCTGCGGGCACTTCGGTTCATTCTCATGATCTCTCCAGCAGCCGGCTTTAGTGAAGAGGAGAAATCGTTGACAATGGCTGCAATGCCTACGCGGTGACATCATCCACAAACTTACTATGGGACATCTATTGTCGGCGGTTCCTCCTCTACACCAAAACTACCGCTAGTAGCTGATCATTTGACCAGACCAGACCTGAAAAAAGATAACTATACACATCTTTCCTTTACAAGGTAGTTAGAATAGGGATAGGAGCAAGTTTAGGTTTTTGACTGGACTTCTACTTTAAATAAAGATTATCCTTTTTTTTTTTTTACATATTCATTGACTTAAAAGCACAGTTCCGGCACATAGAAAACATCTGAGACTGATATCCCTGATTCATGCTGCTTTGCTGTTAAAGAATATGGAAACCCAGTATTTCATGTTCCTAATATGTGCCTGCTGTTACAAGGACTTGTATGAAAAAGTATCCTGTTCTCTTTGTATTGCTTCCTTTGTGTGAAATACCTGGTATTTTTGCCAGTCCTTCTGCTTTCCTATTAAAAACTGACCATACTAAGCAGAAAAACACACAGTGGTCAGTTTTCTAACTGTGCTTGGAACTCAGCCTGCTCTCCGCCAATGATCAGACTTCTGCTGGCACACCCGTCTATGCGTAGCCATTCACTGGGAAGTTCAATGTATGCTGTTTCTCCTCCCCCCTAGCTCTTATGCAGCTGAGAACAGAGGGTATGTGATCACTTGCAAAAAAGAGGAATAAATGTATTTATAATTTTTTTTATATCTAAACACAACTGTTTTACCTTTCTTTTCTGTTTTAAATGGAATGGGTTGTTTTACAAGATGAGGATTTACATATATTTTAATTTGATGAGAATCTATAAACTCTATTCAGTGGTCTTTCCTATTTTTTATAACAGTTTCATGTTCAAGAAGATTATTTTCTATTTGACACACTTTTCTGGGACCCCATTAGAGGAACCTTCATCTCCCTAGTATGACTGTGACAGTGCTAACTTGACTTTTCAGCTGAGCTTGAAGAATTACTAAAGTAGAATTGTAATATATTCCTATGACAGTCATTAGAAGGCTCCCTCTAGTGGATATTCGATAGAAGTACCGCATACAAAAATCTGACTTTGGCAAGTGACACAATCCTGTCTGAAAAGTCCAACAAAGGAGCTGTGACATACTGTATCTCCCTAACTGAATTTCAAAGAGTAGACCCAGTTGGAAGTGAACCTAAGCCAAAACACAGGAATTCCTTTTTGAATAGGGTTTCAATGTATTAGTCAGCAAATGGCTAACTACACTGATGAAATCAATATATCAGAACTGTTTTACCTGCCAATAGATTTGTATTTCTGTCCCATCAATCCTGAGATTTGCAAAGCTCCCTCATTAAGTACAGTCTTGTCTGGCAGAGGGGGGGGGGCTCTGGTTAAATCTGCAACAGTTTAGGAACATTTTCAGGTCTTCTCCTTCCCCTATTAGTCTGTGAATGGACTGTGAAAAGAGAAGCAGCACAAGAATGAGCTCATCTCTCAGCCACTCTACTCTCTCCTCTTGTCAGCATACTCCTTGCACTGTAGCAGATCTCATTGGCTCCTTGTGCTGCTTCTCACTCCCACAATCTGAGTTATGCTGTACAGGAACTGCAAGAAGCTGATACTACTGTACATTAAATTCAGGTACCTACATTGCTTTCATTACAAAAATACATTGCAGGACAAATAAGGGTCCTTGCTCTTGGTAATGATGTATTTTGATATATGGAAGTTTTATTTATTTTTCCTTATCACGTACACTGAAAATGAAAGCATAATCACATAAAACAGCTTACGGTATCAGTTATGTTTACTATACATATAGTATATCCACTGTATATAATATAACATTTTTAAAAAGCATATAACTGTACAGCTTTTGTTTCTGTAGTACAAAGCTACAGTAGCAATTACTGAAAGTGGGTGAGAGATGATTTTTTTTGCACTACATGACACTTGGCACTGCTGCTTAAAATGATTTCCAAATCACTGTGTACTTTGTACGCACTGCCGCCAGTCTTCAAAATGTTCCCATGTCATGGTTTAGTCATGTGATTTATTCCTGTGCGCTCAAGGTCAAGATAAAGACCTCACCAGCAATCCTGGATAAATAAATGAACCAGCGTTTGTCTTTTATTGGAATCCACAATAAATCCAAATAAAAATAGTGAACATTAGGCATGACCAACCCCCCAAAAAATAACTCTGAAGCTGTAGGGATTTGTAAGGTGAAACAGACTAATTTCTGACACACAGGATAATTAAACTGAGCCATGCTTAAAGTGTATTTCCACTTTTGTGGCCAAACTGGTATAACACCTACTCTATAATTGTTACATGTCCCCATTCACATATCATAACTTAAGTCGCCCTTAGATGGATAGCCACCAGCAGTAATCAATGTGTTCTCTGCCAGCCAAGAAGGCCCCCTACTGGCACAGCAGAATAGCGCTGCAGGAAGGATTCTCCCATTCAACACTGATTTTGTTGATGGGGGATTCAAGAAATTTTCTTCCCTGCAATAAAACTAAGGGATCTATGAATGGAGGGGGCAAACCTCCTTATTATCCACCCATCCTCCATTCATCGTTTTTCATTCATAGAAGCTGCAGTTTGGCAGGGAGCTGGGTGAAAAAGGCAAGCATAGTTTGGCACTCTTAATGAGTTCCTGTCAGAGCTCACTCTGTTCTAGTAACTCCCACCACCGTAATCTTCCATGGGGTGAAGGGGGTTGGGCTCATCAGAAGAGGAAGTTTTCTGCTAAGCTAGGCTGGTTCAGCACGAGGGACACATCTCACTGAGGGTAAGAAATGTCCCTTGTGTTCAGGGGTGGGCTGACCATTTGGGCATTGCCCGAGGGACCGGAGTCAGTAGGGGGCCCGGTGAGAGGCTCACTGGGCACAATTCACTAAGCAGTATCTTACTGCATCCGAGTATGTGGTAGTATACCGCATAGCATTTAAAAAAAAAAACCTTTGAATTCACAAAAAAAACTACTAAAATACCACAGGAGTTATTTTATCAAGTCATGCGGTATTTTAATAGTGAAAAGCATGCGCTGATGTTTCAGCTGTCAGCAAGGTTCCCCACTGACAGCTAAATGTAAAAGAAAGAATTGCTGGCAATTAAAAAAACAACGTGGGGTCCCCCCTCCATCCATACCTAGCCCTTAGGGTTTGGTATGGACTTTTAGGGGAACCTCCACACCAAAATTAAAACAAAATGGCATGGGGGTCCCCCCCAAAATCCATACCGGACCCTTATCCGAGCATACAGCCCAGCAGGTCAGGAAAGGGGGGGGACAAGCGAGCGCCACCCCCTCCTGAACCATACCAGCCCACATGCCCTCAACATGGGGGGCTGCTTTGGGGCAGGGTCCTTGTGACATAATGGTTGATGACACCACAAGGGGCAGGGTCACACACGTGATGTCACTGGGTGGCCCCGCCCCTTACATATTTAAGAACTAACAAGCCAGGGGATCAGTCAGAGGGCCGGGAGCCAGCGTCGGGAGCGGAGCCTTTTTTTTTCTTTCTTTTTTCGGGTGGCGGCGGTGGCAGGCGTCGTGATTAATGGTGGATCTACTTCGGGGGACATTCTTTTTTTTTTTTTTCTTCTTTTAATAAAGGACTTGTCAAAGACTGTCTCCTGTCTTTTTTCACACTACACTTTTTTTTTGTGAATGGGTAGCGGTACCATGTACCCCATACTCATTCATATGGCAGGGGGGCCGGGATCTGCGGGCCCCATTGCTAAAGGGGGCTTCCAGATTCCGATAAGCCCCCTGTCCGCAGACTCCCACGACCACAGGCACCCCCCATGTTGAGGGCATGTGGCCTGGTATGGTTCAGGAAGAGGGGGGGGGCTCTCACTCGTTCCCCCCCCTTTCCTGACCTGCCAGGCTGCATGCTCGGATTAGGGTCTGGTATGGATCTTGGGGGGACCCCACGCCATTTTTTCTTAATTTTGGCATGGGGGTTCCCCTCAAAACCTATACCAGACCTGAAGGGCTTGGTATGAATGGAGCGGGGACCCCACGACATTGTTTTATTATTTTTAAAATTATTTCTATTGCCCTTTCTATGCAGCTGAGCTGCAATGCGTAGGTGGGATGTTGTGTAGGTGTGGCTTTGGCTTTAGTGTAGGTGGAGACACAGGGGGCCCCATTATCTCTTATTGCCCAGGGGCCCCATGAGTTGTCAGTCCGCCCTTGCTTGTGTTTATTATTTATTTATGTAAACTTAGGCTTTAAGGCCCTATGGGATAATTTCTAAAACTGGAGCACTCGGAATCTGGTGCAGCTGTGCATTTTAGCCAATCCGCTTCCAACTTCAGATTGTTTATTTAAGCTTACAATAAAACCTGGAAGCTGTTACTACAGACAACTGCACTGCATTTTGCACTCTCCAGTTTTTTGTAAATAATCCCCCATTGCATATTATAAACAATCACCATGTTTCTTTCTTTTAGAAAACACTGGGGTTGATTTACCAAAGGCTAGACCAGGGGTGGGCAAACTTTTTGACATGAGGGCCGCAATGGGTTCATATATTGGACCCGGGGGCCGGACCAAGAGTAGATGAATGATGTGTATGTGTCATCCATAGTAAGTATAGTAATATTCCCCCATAGTAAGCATAGTAATTAATCCCCCATATAGTAATTCATCCCCCATAGTAATTCATCCCCCATAGTAATTCATCCCCCATATAGTAATTCATCCCCCATATAGTAATTCATCCCCCATAGTAATTCATCCCCCATATAGTAATTCATCCCCCATAGTAATTCATCCCCCATATAGTAATTCATCCCCCATATAGTAATTCATCCCCCATAGTAATTCATCCCCCATATAGTAATTCATCCCCCCTATAGTAATTCATCCCCCCTATAGTAATTCATCCCCCATAGTAATTCATCCCCATAGTAATTCATCCCCCATATAGTAATTCATCCCCCATAGTAATTCATCCCTCATATAGTAATTCATCCCCCCTATAGTATTTCATCCCCCCTATAGTAATTCATTCCCCATATTATTTCATCCCCCATAGTACTATTCCCCCCCAAGTAGTAAGCCAAGTCCCCCCTGTCAATTCACTTACCTTTGCTCCGCGCATTCCTCTCGCCGTGTTCCCGTGCCGTTCCGGTCTTCAGGGCGGACTGTGAGAGGAGCCTAGCTCCCCTCACGTTCGTCACGCTGCCCCGCCTACACACATCCTGACAGCCAATGTATCACGCTCCACGGGCCGGATTAAAAGGTCCCGCGGGCCGTAGTTTGCCCATTGCTGGGCTAGACTGTGCACTTTGCAAGAGCAGTTGCTCCATAGCTTAGTAAATGAGCAGAAGCTCTACTGATTTCCATCATCCAATCATGTGCAAGCAAAACATTTTTTTTTAATATTCCTTGCACGTGATTGGGTATCCTTTGCAAAGTGAAGCTTTACTTCATTTACTAAGCTCTGGAGAAACTGCACCTGCATAGTGCAACTGCACTTTGCAAATGCACAGTCTATTTGCCTTTAGTAAATCAACACCTAAGTTTTCATGTTTTATTCATATTTCTTTGCATCTCAGTGCTAGTGATCTCCTGCAGCCTCTTGAAGCCACTTCCTGCTTGTACAAGCTCCAACAATGAATAAATGTCATTGCTCAGGGCAGACTTCCTGATAGGGACAACAGAATAACTGACATAGTCTCCACAGGCTGACAGAGCAAAAGAACAACTGGGAGATGGGGACAGTGTAATCATCCTATGACAGGACGTGCCTAAAGGGGTCTTCATGGCAAGATTTCCAGTCATTGTTTTAATGAAAGCTGCAGATTTAAAAAAACAACGAAAGCAACTTTTTAAAATTAAATTTGCATCCTAAAGATTGTATCAGATGTTTGTGAATGGACTGAAGAGGACTGAAAAGAGGTAAGCACAAGAATCTTTTTATACAGGTTAGGCAGGATAGTAGGAGGAGGTGGGCAGGGAACATTTTTACAGTGGAGATAAACTCTGCCAATCAGTATGAACTATTTTTAATCCTTCTGCTGCTGGCATTCGTAAATAGATCAGGAGTTACTGTATATTATATTTACCTGTTTTACATTTCTTCAGTTGCTTCCTAGTTTCTGGCCTAGGCCAAAATGATGTCATATATCCCACGAGTCTTCATGGGCATTTTTTTTTCTTTCATCTGGAGGAGGGGTTTTCTCAGCTAAGCAGTTTTTTCTTCTGGCATGCCTGAGCTAAGGGTAGATGGATTACAGGACGTAAATGCTACATGATTCATCTGCCCTTAATCAAGAGGGCCATGGCTAGAAATGCTGGGGGGGGGGAGGGTTTAATGTGATTTTGCAACAAAATAAAGCATGGAGAAAAGTACGACCAAAAGTATTGGGACACCCCTACAAATCATTGGATTCAGGTGCTCCAATCACCTCCATAGCCACAGGTGTATGAAATCAATCACTTAGGCATGCAGACTACTTCTTCAAACATTTGTAAAAGAATTGGTCGCTGTCAAGTGCTCAGTGAATTCAAATGTTTAACTGTGATAGGTTGCCACCTGTGTAATAAGCCCATCCGTGAAATTTCCTTGCTACTAAATATTCCACGGTCAACTGTTAGTGGTGTTATAACAAAGCAACTGTGAACAACAGCAACTCAGGCACAAAGTGGTGGGCTACGTAAAATGACAGAGTGGGGTCAGCACATGCTGAAACGCACAGTGCACAGAAGTCACCAACTGTCTGCAGAGTCAATAGCGTAAGACCTCCAAATTTCATGTGGCCTTCAGATTAGCACAACAACAGTACGTAGAGAGCTTCATGAAATGGGTTTCCATGGCCAAGCAGCTGAGGGGGGACTTTGGTGTGGGGTTGTTTTTCAGGGTTGGGCTTGGCCCCTTAGTTCCAGTGAAGGGAACTCTTAAGGTGTCAGCACACTAAGACATTTTGGATGATTTCATGCTCCCAACTTTGTGGGAACAGTTGGGGGATGGCCCCTTCCTGTTCCAACATGACCGCACCAGTACACAAAGCAAGGTCCATAAAGACATGGATGAGCGAATTTGTGGTGGGGGAACTTGTCTGGCCTGCACAGTGTACACTGTCCTGACCTCAACCCAATAGAACACCTTTGAGAGGAATTAGAGCAGAGACCTACGAACCAAGCTTTCTCGTCCAACATCAGTGACTGACGTCACAAATGCTCTTCTGGAAGAATGGTCAAACATTCCCATAGACACACTCCTAAACCTTGTGGACAGCCTTTCCACAAGAGCTGAAGTTGTTATAGCTCCAAAGCGTGGGCCAACTCAATATTGATATCTAAGATGCCTTTAAAGTTCATGTGCGTGTAAGGGCAGGCATCCCAATACTTTTGGCAATATAGTGTAGACATATGGGTGAGTTTGCTTTAAATATTAAAAATAAATGAAATAGTGTTTTCAGTTTGGGGTTAGGTTACATGTTAAGTCATGTGTTTATTTTCAGTTGTTTCTAGTCCTAAAGCCTCTCTGCATTCTAAAACTGTTTGGATTTGGTCATCTATGTTCAGAGGAAAATGGTTGCAAAACTGTAGGAAAAACACTCAGGTGGCCCAGTCTGCAGGTGCATGGGTACACTTTTCTGTTCTGTTGTAACAAATTTATGTGCAGGAAATTAGCTGTGAGAATAAAAATATCACTTGCACTCAGTAACACCATTCATTTTGTTCTAAAAATGCTCAGGTTCATTTATAGCGGTCAAGAACCTTAATATCCTTAATTTATTAATGCGCTTTATTCTTTCACATGTAGCTAAGCACAGTGTTCACAGAATACTCTCTGAAGAAACTTAAAATATATGTGAACCTCACTTTGCAAAACAATCCATTCAGTTTAAAACAGATGTAAAAGTGAAAATGTGTATATACAGTGTATATATATATATATATATATATATATATATATATATATATATATATATACATACACTATATTGCTAAAGGTATTGCGGCACCTGCCTCTACAAGCATATGAACTTTAATGGCATCCCAGTTGACTCAATATTGAGTTGTCCCACCCTTTGCAGCTATAACAGCTTCAGCTTTCCAGGGAAGGCTGTCCACAAGGTTTAGGAGTGTCTATGGGAATGTTTGGCCATTCTTCCAGAAGTGTATTTGTGAGGTCAGGCACTGATGTTGGATGAGAAGGCCTGGCTCTGCACTATTTCATCCCAAAAGTGTTTTATCGGGTTGAGGTCAGGACTCTATGCAGGCCAGTCAAGTTCCTCCACCCCATCCATGTCCCACCAATGCTAATCCATGTCTTTATGGACCTTGCTTTGTGCACTGGTGTGCAGTCATGTTGGAACAAGAAGGAGCCATCCCCAAACTGTTCACACAAAGTTGGGAGCATGAAATTGTCCAAAATATCTTGGTATGTTGACGCCCTAAGAGTTTCCCTTCACTGGAACTAAGGAGCCAAGCCCAACCCTTGAAAAACAACCCCACACCATAATCCCCCCTCCACCAAACTTTACACTTGGCACAATGCAGCCAGGCAAGTACTGTTCTCCTGGCAACCACCAAACCCAGAAACGAACATTGGATTGCCAGACAAAGAAGCGTAAAGAAAACAAAACCTCAGCGCCCAGGACTCTCCTATTTAACACACAAATCCCCGTGAGATGCTGCTGTGCACAGGTACAAAGACCAAAAAACTTTTAACAATGAAAACCAGCGCAAACCCACATATTCAATTGTATTACTCAACTTGAAAAATCATTTTTTTGCTAATAAAGATATATATAATAAATTATATATAAATAAATTAATATAAAAATAAAAACATTAAATTAAATTCATAAGTCCAGTGACAAAAAAATTTAAAAATCAAGTGATAAAAAAATCGAAAAAGTCCCAAAAAAATATATATATATTTAACAGTCCCGTGACAAAAATAAATCAATTTATAATTATCATTGGATTCTTCCGTGTTACTGATCCCTTCACCATCCACCAGTGCAGAAATCAACATTAACCGCACTCACCAGATATTAGTAAGTCACACACCTTTCAGGAATATTAAGGGCTCCTGGACCCCCTTTACTTTTGTGAGACCTCCAAATGCTGTTTCCTCTTATATTTGGGTACCTCTTCTGCTTACTCCTCTCACCGAATCCCCCAAAGAAGATCAGGAAAAAGAAAAGACCATAGCGTGATACCGTAGTAATCTCTCCTCCAAATAATCTCTCCAGACCACTCACATTCTTTTGCGGGATATAGCCCGCCTTTTATTCAAAACAACAATGATTTTCTTCCAAAATTATCCACTTTTCAGGTACAACCGACTTCTTATAAGAGACCCCACAATCTAGTGTGCAGCAGGATGGCAGACCTCAGCTACAGACTCATCTACTAGGCTAAGATGGCCCCTTGGAACGCACCGCTCGGCGTGCGCTCCACTCACCGGAAATGACGTCAGATGACGGACCAGGCAACCGGAAAGCTTGATAACGCCCTGTGGGTGGGGTGAAACGCGTTGACGCACTTCCGGTTGCCTGGTCCGTCGTCTGACGTCATTTCCGGTGAGTGGAGCGCACGCCGAGCGGTGCGTTCCAAGGGGCCATCTGGTCTGGAGAGATTATTTGGAGGAGAGATTACTACGGTATCACGCTATGGTCTTTTCTTTTTCCTGATCTTCTTTGGGGGATTCGGTGAGAGGAGTAAGCAGAAGAGGTACCCAAATATAAGAGGAAACAGCATTTGGAGGTCTCACAAAAGTAAAGGGGGTCCAGGAGCCCTTAATATTCCTGAAAGGCGTGTGACTTACTAATATCTGGTGAGTGCGGTTAATGTTGATTTCTGCACTGGTGGATGGTGAAGGGATCAGTAACACGGAAGAATCCAATGATAATTATAAATTGATTTATTTTTGTCACGGGACTGTTAAATATATATATATTTTTTTGGGACTTTTTCGATTTTTTATCACTTGATTTTTAAATTTTTTTGTCACTGGACTTATGAATTTAATTTAATGTTTTTATTTTTATATTAATTTATTTATATATAATTTATTATATATATCTTTATTAGCAAAAAAATGATTTTTCAAGTTGAGTAATACAATTGAATATGTGGGTTTGCGCTGGTTTTTCATTGTTAAAAGACAAAGAAGCGTGATTCGTCATTCCAGAGAACACATCTCCACTGCTCTAGAGTCCAGTGGTGGCGTGCTTTACACCAATACATCTGGCACTTTGCATTGCACTCGGTGATGTAAGGCTTGGATGCATCTGCTCAGCCATGGAAAACCATTCCATGAAGCTCTCTACGCACTTTTGTTGAGCTAATCTAAAGGCCACACAACGTTTGGAAGTCTTTAGCTAATGACTCTGCAGACAGTTGGTGACTTCTGTGCACTGTGAGCTTCAGCATACACTGACCTCGTACTGTAATTTTATGTGGCCTACCACATCGTGGCTGAGTTGCTGTTGTTCCCAGTGGCTTCCACTTTGTTATAAATTTCACGGATGGACTTATTGCACAGGTGACAACCTATCACGGTACCACGCTTGAATTCACTGAGCTCCTGAAAGCATCCCATTCTTTCACAAATGTTTGTAGAAGCAGTCTGCAAGCCTAGGTGTTTGATTTTTTACACCTGTGGCCATGGAAGTGATTGGAACACTGTAATCCAAAGATTTGGAGCGG